AGGGCGTGCTTATTGTGAAATGATGGTGAGGGGTTGTTGCCGGTGAGGAAAAGTAACATTTGTGATGAGAATTCCAAGGAAATTACTCATATTTCAATTTGCTGTGCATGTCACTCTTTTGCAGTTAAAGAAGCACTTAGATGAGCGGCGGAGACTGAAAGAGCATGCTGACAATGAGCTTCAGAGGTTAAAAGAGCATGCTGAAGAAGAAGGGCGGAGATTGAAAGAGCATGCTGATGGTCTTGCATCAAAGCTTTCAGAGAGCGAGAAACAGCTTGGCTGTAGGAATGCAGAAATCAGTAATCTTCGAAATGAGGTGAACCTTCTCAGGGAGGAGATGAGATTCCAGAATGGGAAGGTACTCCAGCTCAGCTCAKCAGTTGAGCAGCTGCGATACACTAACATGGAACTTCAGCGTGTTGTCCAAGAGAAAGATGCAGATATCTCATCGTTGATGGAGAAGGTCCAACTTCTAAGTGATGATGCAGGGAAGCTTCGTTATGATCTATTGAAGTTGTCAGAGGAGAAAGAGAGTCTCACAAACGAAGTGAAAGGAAAACAGAGTCTTGTCGATTGGCTGTCGGCTGAGGTAAAGAAGGTGAGAGAACAGGCAGAGGAAATGGAACTCCAGCTGTGGGAACGGGATGGCCAATTGAGTATTCTGCGTGGCTCTCTGCAGGACGAGAATGACATGGACTACGCCTAGTGTGGCCTTCAACATCCATCAAAGTGCTTTTTCGGAAGTTTTTCCACACTTGGGTTATGTTGCACAGTTCCAGACTCGGGAAATGTCTTGCGGTTCCGAACTTGGGACGTTGCACAGTTGCAGACTTGGAACATGTTGCACAGTCTCCGACTTGGTACGTTGCACAGCTCCAGACATGGGACATGTTGTTGTGTTCCAGATTTGGGACATATGCTGCAATTCCAGACTGAAGACATGTTGCGCAGTTCCAGACTTGGGACATGTTGAGTTCCAGACCTGGGACACGTTGCACAGCTCCAGACATGAGACATGTTGTTCAGCTCCTGACTTGGGGCACAATGTGCGGCTCCAGACTTGCAACATGTTGTGTGGTTCCAGACTTGGGGCATGCTGTGCAGTTCAAGATATGGGACATGTTGCACAGCTCCAGTCTTCGGACATGTTGTGCAGTTCCCGACTCGGGACATGTTGCACAGCTCCAGATTTGGGACATGTTGCTCAGCTCCAGACTTGGGACATGTTGCACAGCTCCAGACTTGGGAGATCATGTGATGTTCCAGACTTGGGAGATGTTGCACAAACTTGGGAATGGAAAAATATCCATTCTTTACAACTGGCAGGTCAAGCATTTTCTAYGAAGTTCTTTGTGGCGTGTGCTGTATAGACTGTGCCTAGATTGACCCAACTTCAGCCAAGTGATTGTAGAGGACCGTGTTCACTGTCGTGGAGGTTAACACGAGATTCATTCCATCCACTGCATCCAGTTTAAAAAAGGAAGGAGAGAAAGAGAGAGGGAAGGAGGGGGGAAGCATTTGGAATGGAGCACACTTCGCAGGGAATGACATGAAATGCTCATCAYTAGGATGATATTTTTTGGGGGGAGATTGTGACAYAGTCCATTGTATAATCTGCTGGAGATTACGTGGAAAGTTTCAGGGAGGTGGGGGATTCAAGGTTCCTTCGTGGCCAGCCATTCTCCACCAGTCCACAGGCTGGGCAAGGTTTTCATCATTCCCCGCAGTGTTATTATAAACATAAAGCAATGAGAGAGGGGGCTGATGTTCTCTCCCCAGGACGACGTGCAAGGTTTCAGGTAGGAAGGGAGCGTGAGGGTCCTTCCTGGTCTGATGATCTTCTCTCTCAAGGGCTACGTGCAAGGTCTCAGCGAGCAGAGGAATTCAGGTTTCTTTCCTGGTCAGCCATTCTCGTCAGGCGATGGTCTTCCCCCAATCRCGATGCAACCTCATCATGAATGTATACAAAGCCATCGTGCCAGTCTCATGCAGTGATGACTCGTGATGAGGGTGCGTTATGATCAGTGGAAGACACTAGGTGAGGTTTTCATAATCCCCCGCAGCAAGTGACGGAGTGGGCTGATATTATGTCTCCTCTCCAGAGTCACTCTTGAATAAGCCATTGCCTTGGCCACTCTACAATCACAGAGCAGAACTCCCGTGGCGTTCCGGTGTATGACCACCAGCACTTGCTGTTTGGGACAGCAGCCGGTCTCCATTCGTGAACATATCTTCACAAACRTCAATGAAAGAGGCGTCGGCTCCATGTTATGAATGAAGGTAGCTACGGAGCAGTGTTCATCGCCAAAGACAACTGGTGTCGAGAGCTTTCTGGGTGATAAGAGTTCTGCCATCAGCATGTGCGTGGCATATGTAGAAGGCTACCGGTAGTAGAGAAGTTTTCTTCTGATGCAACAGACATGCCATCCCTCACCATCTGCTCTGTCGAGGGTTGTGGCTACCATCTTCACCCGGATAGCACGCCCGGTCATTATAGCCGTATTTGCGGCAACTTTCAGTGTACATTCAGTGATTATGACCGGGCGTTCTATTCGGGTGAAGGCGGTAGGGGAAGTTATCAATTTACTGCTAATAAATAAATTATTGCCTGCAAGCTTTCGCAATCCTTCATTTATCAGCTACGTCTAGATTCTGATTTCCAGCAAGTAAGCTGATCCAATGTTGTATAATACATACCATCTGCCACTAACGGGCATCATCTACCACACAGCCATCTCTTGCTACTATCACCACTACTGGTTTACTATTAATCTTCTGCAGCAGGGTCATTCAGCAGCGGAAGCAGTCGGTGCTTGTGCGCTGCAGCTGAAAGCATTTACTATATTCTATTATCATTGCCATGACATACTCATTTATGAAATAAAGAAGTAGCCATCACAGTGGTGGCTGGGACGCGCTCCTAGCTCTCCCATCAACGTTCCGTCTCAAAAAATCGTTAGCTAAGCAACTATAGAAAGTAAATARAAATGGCTGGAAGCCAGGTGGGAAGGAAGCGTGACATCTGTTTGGCTTCCCCCTTTGTGATGTACCATGAGAATATCATTTCAGCCGATACTATGTCATTCAATTAGCGAATCACGTCAAAATAAAATGATGCCTTCCGGTTATTTAATATGAGGACCTCACATAACCAATGCTCCCTTGAGTATGTGATCGTCTCAGCCGCTGCTCAGATGCATTGCAGTCACTGTGTATAAAAGTGTGTCTCCGTTCTTCGGTTACACAAGAGTTCCGCAGTAAGTAAGTTATCAGTTCTAGACTGACAACTGGAAAAGACAATGCTGACGGTGCCGTCATGATGATGGGCTGGACGTGTGGGCTCGCGGACTGCTCAGATGCCTTCCAGTCACTGTGTATGAAAGTGTGTCTCCCTTCTTCGGTTACACAGAGCTCAGCAGTAAATTATCAGCTCTAGACTGACAAGTGAAAACGACGATGGTGACTATGCCGTCATGATGATGGTCTGGACGTCTGGGCCCATGGACACTGGAGGGAGAGGCTATCGTATCTAGGAGACGATGCATTGTTTGGGCCGTCTGCACGCGTTTTTTTTTCATCTTCTTCTCGACAGTTCTTTCACGTCTCCTTCGACTTCGGTGTTTGCAGTGTAGGTTGTTAACTAACTATAGTTCCGAAACTCCTCTGACGGAAGTGGCAATTCATTAATTGAACGACATAGTCCCATTCCTCTGAGTGGAACTATATCATTCCTCCCAATGACATAGTCCCGTTCCTCCAGATGGGACTTTCTCAGAATGCCCTGGTCATTTTGCTTCATCATTTGTATCATTACGAACCAGCTCGTAGCTCGTTTGTGACTTGGTTGTTGCCGCTACGGAACCAGTTTCTGAATCAGTTGTTGCCCCTGCTGCTGCTGACTGCAGATTTGAGAGGCGGTTTGTTATTTGCTGCTGGTGGGACACCACAGTATGGAGTTAACATCTAGAAGGATAGTGGATGGAGAAGCTGGAGTTTACATCTAAGGAGCAATGGGGCATTTGATTCATTATATTTTGATTAAAATCATTTAATGAAAAAAATACCGCCATGGTATAGATTTAGAAAGGACCCCATTTATTTACTGGGTTGTGCTAATTAGTTTAACAAGCTGTGAAACAGGTACGCTGAGGAGAATGGGCCAGAGAAGTGAGGCACATGACAGAATTCATGAGCGGTAGTTCGTATGATCGAGGCTGTTGATCAGGGAGAAACTTTGGTATTTGGCTATGCGAGAGAAGAGGTACAACATTCAGCAGCCGTGGATGCACGACAAGTCTGCCGACAATTGACGTACACCATCGCACATTACGGCAGTGATTTGTGAGAATCGCGATGAAGCTAGCTCTGCGCATGGGCCATTCTTTTTGTGTTTGTCTGCTTGTTTGTTGACTTTATCGCATCTTTGTTATCCTGCTCTTAGTGAAGAAGTAGGGTGATGTACGGGAATGGTCCACTGATGTTTATGACTTTGAAAACTAGTTTGGTCTGAGGGCACTCAATCATGTGCTCTTCCCGGTGCAGATCATGCACTTGCCCATCTGCACGTCYAGGGGCATTCTGACAAAGCTAGTTTTGGAACTAGTAAGCCTAGGCAGGCCTCCAGAATTCCACACACTTTTCCCTTACAAAAACAAGTGGTGAGTAACAAGTGAAACTCAGCAAAGCACAAGTATTGCACATTGTAGCCAAGACTCCATCTGGCAAGTGGAGAATGACCCTGGTTTGCCTTCCACTGCTGGATTGAAGGCTTCTTACACCATAAAAGTAAAACCTCAGCCCTTTTCCCTGAACTCATCTGCAGTTAGCCATGGGGCCATTCAAAACAGCACTACGTAGGTTGGGCATTGGACTCTGAAAAGGTCCCCTTCGCCCAACCTGAATGACGAGTAAGAAGATGGAAGCACATATGCCCACATGCCCATCTGATATAAAAGGAAAACAGTGGAAAAAACAGGAAACACTTCATCTCTTTTTTTTTGGTTTTAGTTGTGCAGGGGCCATGCTAATCTTCTCTGCATCGTTCAATTTCTACAGCGCTTCTGCATATTCTCCTTCAGGCTTGAACAGACATTCGTCACGATCGACTTTTCAAAGAAATCTCCGTTTCAAAAACCGTACATGAAATTTACATTTCATACAGCTTCCCCTTGAAATTTGTTTCTAAATTGAAATCAATTTGGAATTAGTGTTTGTACTAAGTGATATTACTAATTATCCTTCTCAATAAATAAGAATTAAATAAGGTTTAAACTTTAAAGAGTTATCTTAATTTAAACAGCAAACACGCCGAGTGGGAGGTGGCAATCTCAAAAACACTAGCACAAATGGTAAAAAGCCACTGTGGGGATCTAACGGGGAACGCTGAAACAGAAACTGGCTGTAGAGTACCGTTCTGGTGGATTATAGACTCCATCTCAGACTATATCTACAACTTACCATCTGAGATCTACTCAGTATATTCAGCAGACATCACACGCTGCTACGAAACAAGCCCCATTGACGACTCAACACATGGACTCCGTAAAGCCATCACATTTTTAGTAAAAATTGCTTTCCAGCAGGCCAGAAAAAAACTATGGAAAAACGTCAAATTAGCCTGCAAAATCAGAAACACACAAAACGAAGATAGATTCTGCACTTTCTGGGCCAATGCCCCGTTGCAAAATACAGTAATTTTCTCCATGGAACTCATCGGTCAAATGAACACATGGCTCATCAACAATGCATACACCTCCTTGGGGGGTGCAATATGGAGGCAGACACTAGGCGTCCCCATGGGGTTCAGCTGTTCACCCGTCTGGTGTAACCTCTACTTCTTTCGATACGAATACAACTTCATGAAGAAACGCAAACTACAACCCAACTGAGTCTTACACTTACTCCCTCAATTTCAGAATGTTTTCAGATACTTCGACGATCTAAAATGCATTAACAACCCTGGGATCCTTGAATTCTTAAATCCAGATATTAAAAGTGAAAGGAGTAAATACTATTATCTACCCACTCAACTACGTAACTTTAAAAGAACAGACAGTAGAACACAAAAAAATGGGACATCATAAAATCTGAACCAAATGCAACTTCCTCRACACAACAGTTGAAATCCAGGACCCCATCCGAGGTTTCTACAAAACTACCAAATATGACAAAAGGAGAGACTTAGACTTCCTTATCAACAGGTCGCTCAAATATGAATCCAACAGGCCAATAAATCAGTGAGTAAAAACACTGATCCCCCAAGTCATCAGCATAATGACAGTCTCCTCTGAACCTGAGGTCACGGGCACTCTGAAAATCATCAAAGAGGTACTCCAAAACACGCGCTCCAATCAACCATTCCGATGCAACAGCGCAATAGTTCTCGGATCATTCCAACTCCAACTGCGTGTGCGTGATAGTGTGTGATGTGTGTAGACTACTCACTTGTAGTCTGCTTCGGATGGCGGACTGCCCTGAGGGGGCAGGTTTGCCATCCTCCCGGGCCCATCACAAGGGAATGAGGGAGGGACACACACACACACACACATGTTATGAACTTGGTTGTCTGACGAATTTTATCGTCACTCATACGCAGACAGTCTCATACACGCCCATACATGCATAAGAGAAGGGGAGAGAGGAGACAGAGTCGAAACTGCACACATAAAAATAGGCAGTGGAAGGCAATCATGCACAGATGGGGAGAAGACACACAGTGTTTCTCACTCTCTGACGAAACTCCCAACAACCAATCACAAGAAAGAACCTGCTAGGATCGCAATTGAAATTCACACCGACGGATGATGAGCCACTCAACCAATTATCGTAACAGAGTTTGTTCCAGTAACTCGCCACCCTCAGAACTCTAACCCCACTCTCTATACTACACCCAGTTAGTAACGCCATGTGAGAACAGCCTCCCAGAGGCCAGCGCCAACCACCCAGACGGAGAACAGATCCTGTGATGAAGCGTTCAGTGTCGATGGACAACTCTGACGAAGAACCAGGCAGCTATGGCTGCCACCACCCACGATTACATAGTGTAGAGCCTCGATATAGCCCGGCCACACGCAGATACCCCTAGGGGGTAGATGCGCTGAGGATGCTCCACCTATGGCAGACTCAGGATAAGCCGGCTATGGCTGCTGTCAACAACGAGGTCTCAGGATGCCACCTGCGGACTATCACCGCCACCAACTTGCTTGGCTTCTCCAACCCTGTTTCGTGAGCATGAACTGCCACAAGTCCTGGACCGAAGTGCCTACCCTATCTATAGACTACAACTTACCTAGACTCGACTCAGACCAGAGTGACTGACAGACTGCTACCGTTTCTGTTTCGGCCTCTCGGCCTCTACCGGACCCGACTATAGGCTATAGGACCGTCTATCGGCATAGGCCTTTAGGGCCTTTCTGTCCTAGGGGTAGCCCGGGCCTGCTATTCGCAGTTAGGGTAGTAGTAGGAAAGATTATGTTTTTCGAATCCAGAAACCAGTACTATTTTGTTAGTGTTAGGGCTGTATTTTCCCAAATTTGCAGATATATCCCTCACGAAT